AATAAAGTACATTGCTTGCTATCTTCCTAGCTGATTGATCACAGAGTAGAGTTCACAAAATGGTGGGTGACAGACTTCAAGTCCATCAAGTTCCCCTCAGCTGGGACTGTCTTTGACTACTACATTGATCCAGAGACCAAGAAGTTTGAGCCGTGGACAAAGAAAGTCCCCAGGTTTGAGTATGATCCTGATATCCCACTGCAGGTAATTGTATTTCCCATGTGTTTTAATCTTTACTATTTTTCGACTATAATTTATATTCTAATTTGGATGGGGGAGAAAGGGGATTATGTTTTAGATATATAAGACTAACATATCTGCAATTTTTTTAATTTAAAGATGAAACACTATTGTATGCTAAATAATTGCATTTTAATTTTGAGAAGCAAAAGTTGGCTGTATTCTATTTAATTATTATATTTTAATTTCTTTTTGATTATTCTATTACAATAATTCGATTTTTTGTATATATAATTAATATTAATTTTTATATATTTTGGTTGTTGTTTGAAATTTAAAGGGGGGGGGAATAAAGGTGGGGAGGTTGAATCTAAAAGGTAAATGAATTCTTACATATCTCCATAAGTGAGGTTAGTGTAGAGCAGGGCTATAAAACTAAGTTTACCCAGGGACCAGACTATTGAAAATAGGGATCAGCACGGAACAGAGGGCTGAGGCTTAAGCCCATCTGAGAGAGATCAATATAATATAATTGGCAGTGATCCACAAACCACTTGCTAGACCTCTGCAATGTGGATTTGGCACATGGACTGCGAGTTGAATAGTTTTGGTATAGAGCTTCCTCCGACTTAGAATCTTGCCTGCTGGCCTGAAGGTCTTGGGTTCAGATCTGCATTTGGGCTGATTTCTTTTTTTTTTTTTTTTTTTTTTTTTTTAGAAATGACCTTGACTCTAAGGTTGACCTCACCTAAAATTGGTATCCTTTTACTCATAAAGGGCTGACTTATCTATAAAAAATTTGTTTAGCATGACAGCCTTAATGTGCGACAGGTGTTTAAAAAAAAATTCTTTACTTTACTAGTGCCAAGTACCATTTCCATGTGTGTGTGCTGCAGTTTTTCTCTTTCCCTCTCCAAGCTTATACACCAGTGAGGTGTGCACAGGCATAATAAAATATAGTGAGTTCATCATTCAGCTCGACATATACAAACTATGGCAGCTAGGGTAAACTTTGACTTACAGGCTTGTCTGTGGTTATATTTTGTAATGGATGAATTCACAATACAATGCTAAAATTAGACATTTGAATTGTTTCTAATTAGTTTCATCACTTTCCTTGTCCAAAAACACCATGTATTGTAGGGTCACCATCTGCTGATGACTGTCTAATCGGTTTCATCTGCCTCTGTCCAACAGATAATTTAGAACTTGATGTTTGCATGTTTAAGGCCTTTCCATCCAGCCAGATTTTATATTCAAGTCTTTGTTGGTCTGCCTGTTCTCCTCTGTCCCTCTACAAAGCCTTGTAGTATCATTTTGGGGAACCCAGTAGCTTTTTTACATGTGTGTACCACTGCATTTTCCATCTATTCACTGTTGTTAAAAGATGTTCGTAGTTGCCAAAATCTGAGTTTGGCTGTTCTTAGTATAATTGTAACAAAGATTTGTTTTTGAATTAATATCGCAAGAAAGAAAACTGATCACTTCACCTCACTATGCAGTATAATTTCACTTCATTAGCAGTAAATACCTAATTTAATCTCTGTAATGATAATAAATTCACTGCTGACTTCACTGCTCCTTTGGCCAGGACGTTTTGAGGTGACCAAGGACGGCCTTGTGGCACAAGGTCACACCATACTTTGTCCCCTGATTTGTCCTATTTACCACCCCTGACAACATTGATTTTTGGTTGAATTTTAAACACCACAGAATTACCTTTTCCTATGTAGAACCTAACCTGCTCTGATAATGATGTCCTTTGACCTAACTACAGGCAACTCTGGTGCACACAGCTGAGTCCATCCGCATCAAATACTTCCTGGACCTGTTGGTAGAAACACGTCGCCCGGTCATGCTAGTGGGGAGTGCTGGGACCGGCAAGACTGTCCTCATGCAGGATAAGCTAAACAACATGAGTGATGATTTCATGGTTGCAAACGTGCCCTTCAACTTCTACACAAGCAGTGATATGTTGCAGGTTTGCTCTTTACAAGTATTATGACTGACTGACTGACTTTTTACCCCACCAGGCGATAAACACCCTGACAAGTGCCACCTGAGGATGGAGATTCCCAGAAACCGCGTTCAGACATCTATTGGCCTGCCTATATTGCGGCGGCCCCTGGCAAAAAAACCAGGGTGGGGCTTCAAATAACAACAAATTTTAAGTACTAGTTAATCATTACTTTATTACCACTTTCTACACCAAGACGTTCTACTTTAACGCAAGTATTGCCTTAGTGCAAAGCCAAACTAACAATTTGCATGGACTGTTACTATAACAACTATCTGTGATCATCATCATCAGATGCCTTGCTGACTGGCATGGGTGTTCATGCCTCTCCACAATCCTTGATCTCTTGCAGCATGTAATCTGTGATATAATATATAAAGATTGTTGTGCTTGGAATCTATGTATTCACATGATAAACAAAGAAACCAATCCCTAAATACTGCTGTAAAAGCACATTCCCCCCCCCCCCACCTTTTTTTTCCCATCAGAGCATTCTTATAAAGGATAGTCCCTCTCTGCTACAGCCAGCACAGAATTGCCAACTTATGTTGCACAGTCTTTTTTAATATGTTGCTCTTGGCTTTCCTCAAAGTGCCACCTGAGCAGTCAGACTTGTGTAGAGTCATAATCACACTGAGCCGGGAATGCAGAGACTGGCCAGCAGGTGCCACAGAGGTGGAAATTCAGCAATTAATTCAAGATAATGCTAGCTCAGAGGATTTGATCATTTACACAGACGGTTCAGTGTCAAGAGGCAAAAGAAGTGCTTGGGGCTTTTTAGCAAAAGTTAATGGTCGACGTTTGGTGCAGGAGAGCCTTGCATATGATACCACAACATCCAGCTTAAGAATGGAGGTGGAGGCAGTCACTGCAGCTTTCCGCTGGCTAGAGAACACGACACACACACACATTGTAATTGTAACTGATTCAGAAAGCATGCTGAGAAAGATCAGATCAGGTATGCTTCACGCAGAGTGGCATGCTTCGCTGCGGAGGACACGAGTGAGGAGTATTGTCTGGATTTTTTCACCGGGTCACGCCGGTGTGTTGGGAAATGAACAGACGGACAGACTGGCTGGCTCTGCACAACTTGGTGGAATACTGCTACATGATAGGGCAGACGTGGTTAGTGCCTTGTGCGAGAGCGTGTACAATGCAGAGGAGCAGATGGATCACCACAGTCTGGTGAGATTGATGCAGATGGGGGTGACGAGAGGTTCTGGCAGAAGCTCAAGGCTCAGAGGAAAGGCAAGACGGACATTTAATCAGAAAGCTACTGGCACCATTAGTATCGGAACTCTTTGCTGGCTGCTGAAGATGGGGATGGAGTGCTTATGGGAATGCCCTGAGTGCTGTGATGTCGGTTCTTGAATCAAATCAAATCAAATCAATCTCTAAGTATTGAGTGCAAAGTAATCTAACTGTTTTGAAAGAGGCTAAGGTGCAAGGACAGTTTATCTGAAATACTAGAAATAGGCAGAGTGGTTTACAGCAAAACCGCAATGTCTGTGCCTTTCAACCCAAGAGGCAGCACAGGAACTGATGCATATGTTGAAGGAGGGATCTGAGTGCCTGTGGACATGTCTGGAGTGCCCTGAAGATAACTCAAACTCATAACTCAGAGATAGTCATCACTTTATTACATATTATAAGAAAGGAACGGTTGGAACATGTGACAGCTGGAAATATTTCTGGAATAAAAGTTAGAGCAGTGGTCTCCAACCTGAGTGACGCACCCCTCTCCTCCCCCCCCCCCCCCCTCGCAACCTCCATGGGGGCATGAAAAAGTTTCAAGGGCTGTATGAAGCAATTTTGAAATTGAGTCTATTTGTACTTGCAGTAATCCAGATTTTCAGCTTCAAATCATAAAAACAAAACAGGGTTGCCAGCTTGAGGTGGAAAGTGATCTTCATTGTTCCTTGTCCAACATCAGACCAAAAATATTAGCTATCATGAAGACAAAACAGTGTCAACCATCACACTGTTATCTGGAGACTAAATTACTAGTGACTTTGATTTATATGGATGTTTTTCTCCAAGTTCTTGTTAACAGTGCTTGGGATTTTTTTCTTTTTAATCACATTTTGTTATGTTGGGGAAGGGAAGGTGGGGGGTCTTTGGTATTTATGGGTCATGCTACCTGAAAAAGTTTGGAGATCACTGAGTTAGAAGAAGACACTGAGAGAAGATCTGTAAGTTGTATTGTCTTATGGAATGGAAGTGTGTCATTAAATGAACTGTCATGCTGCTGGCAATTTAAAGATATTGAAAAGCATTGTTGTCCATACGTGTTGGCAGAACACTTAATAATGATGATGTATTTAGACATATCTTTCTTGCAAAATGTGTAGTGGTTCAGTTTGCTATGTTTTTAAAATGATTTAAATAATTTCAAATATAAATTTTGATAACTGAGCCTTATTATTTTATGTAGAGAGTACTTGAAAAGCCACTTGAAAAGAAAGCTGGTCGCAACTATGGCCCTCCTGGTACTCGTCGTCTCATCTATTTTGTGGATGACATGAATATGCCTGAGGTATGTATGGGAGTAAAATCAAGTTTTGTGGTGTGTAATGCAGTATAGTAACATAACTTTTCATATTTTTTGTCAGCTGCCTGCATTTAAAAAATACTTACTTAAAATTTTAATTTTAGTCAATAAACTATGTTTTGTGAGAAATTTTAGATTGCTTTATAAATGTGTAATGTGTAGACAAAGAACAAAATATGTTTTTTATTTTTTTTATTTTCTCCACCCAATATTTTGATGTTTTCTAAATTCGTACAAATTTGTTCTGCAAAGGTTGACAAATATTACACAGTCCAGCCTCACACTCTGATCAGACAACACATTGATCACGGCCACTGGTATGATCGATCTAAACTGACACTGAAAGACATCCACAACACACAGTATGTTGCCTGCATGAACCCAACTGCTGGTAGTTTTACCATTGATTCTCGGCTGCAGGTAAGCATTTATTCTTAGTGATTTCAGTTTGAAGATCTCCAATAGAGTCTTTGTTTCCCTATTAGTTTCCATCTTTGAGGATGAAGGGGCTGGTTGAATAGAAAAGAATGCTGAGCTCTCAGGCAGGAAACCCAAGTTCAAATCCTCAGTAAAGTTTTTTTTTTTTTTTTTTGCTTTGTCTGTTAAAGACAAAAATAAAATCCTAACTTGCAGTCTGTGGTGTGACTGTACTAGCCACGTGGCCCTAAATCCTTAGATAGCAGACGTGGTAAATACAGGCAGTAATGACAGTTTCCTTATTTTATCAGTCTTTTTGATTTGATTTAGTCATTACAGTAGATTTGCTTATTATGTGTCATTTTCTTTTGTTTGATTCTTCATCTGTAAATTTTGTTTCCTATGTTTCTTGCCTTAACTCTTTCAGGCCAATGAATTTTGAAGACTTGGTTCGCATTAATTTCCTTTTACAAAAATTGCAGAGGGGGCGGTGTTAAATAAAAGGCAATTGAGATTGTCACATATTTAATCCCTACAAAAGTATATTTTTAAAACAAATGAATGAATGTACATTTTGAATCTGATATGTTTATGCTTAATGCTGTTATAGTTTGTAGAGGAAAAAAAAAGAATTAAGTAGGTGTTATGTTTACAAAGACAAAATATTACCAAAATATTCTTCACTTACCATGGTTTTGTCTCTAACAGCTGACCGCTGAGCTGCTGCTGGTGTAAATTCACTGAACGAACCACTTTCCAAACAGTTTTAATTTTCATTATCATAATCATAAATTAAAAAAACATCTGACTGAAACAATTTCAGAGCCTTAGCCACAAAACAACACATTTTGCGACCTGTACTTGTGTTTTGAACATTGGTATCCGTGGTTAGACAAAATAGTTTATTTCACTGTCTGAAAATGACACTTGAAATAAATTTGACAATTGTGTGCCTACATTTTTCAAAAAAAAATTGTAAACACACAAAAACATTAGAGTAACCTTCCTTGAATTTTTTAATGGTAGTTGCAAACATCAAAACCCGAATACAGAGCAGTACTCGATTTAGTATGTATGGGACCACACAATTGACACAGACCATGGTTTGGTCAGATTGGAACTTCTCAGTCAACACAGTGTTACTTGGGCCTGAAAGCGTTAACAGACTTGATGGAGGTCTCTGTTTTCAGACTTGATGGAGGGCTCTGTTTTCAGACTTGATGGAGGTTCTGTTTTCAGACTTGATGGAGGGCTCTGTTTTCAGACTTGATGGAGGGCTCTGTTTTTAGACTAGACAGAGGGCTCTGTTTTCAATGTACCTATATAACCTCTGCATTTATTTTAATGCTTTCTTTAAAATAAAATTAAAAAATAACAGTTCTGGCTTGGTGATTTGTTTTAGATTGCAAATATAGATTAAAAGAAAACAGGCATGCTTTATCCTAAAGATGAGAAACAAAAACATGTCATAAACTTAAAAACCCTTATTCCATTATCATCATCCTCACACTGTTATCATTATCAGCACCATTATCACCATCACCATGTAGCTGATCTTTTGCAGATTTTTGCTGTCATCAAGACACACTGGAAAATGATTTAGCACCTTGTAGATATTACAGAAACACAAACCCCACTTATACACTTATGGAAACGTTTTACAAGTATATCAAAACTATGCCTTTTATATATTATTTTATTTTTTATTTTTGTGCCATATCTGGCTGCAGTCATGTTATAATTTCTGTTGTGTCAGTTTCACTGTTTCAGTTTCCATTTATTTTGTATTACCATCCATTTTCTGCCAAAGTATAATTTGAGTTTCACAATTATTTTGTTACTGTGTTATTTTATATTGCTGTGCCCTGCTAAAATCAAGCTCTTTTTAGTTTGCAAATATCAGGTCTGATAACTCAGTCTAATAGATTTTAATACTATGCACGGCCTAAAAAATATCAGTTTCTTCTGTAATTGGCAGATACTATATTTACAGCTGCAAGAAACTAGAATTTTAATAGAAAGTCGAAACAAAAGTTTTAGTTTGAACAGTGGAAAAACATAAGTCATTATAATTCATCATCATCCCTTAACACTGCATGTCATTTGGTCATCAGTTACTGTCTGATCAGATCCCTCCACCTTTGACAGTCAAATGCGATGAACTTAAAGGTTGCATGACTAAGGCCTGTCCAGTCAGTCAAGTTCTATATCCAGCTCTTTTTTTTTTTGGTCAGCCTGTTCTCCTATTTCCTGCAGTATTGTTTTTGAGAGGTCTTAGATCTTATTACATGTCCGTACCATTGCACTTTCTGCCTTTTCACTGTAGTTAAATTAGGTTCATACTCATCAAAGTGCTGGATAATAATCTGGTGAACCTCATAATTTGTGATGTCTTCTCTGTCTGTTATGCCAAGAATTGTTCTGAATGATCACATTTCCAATGCTTGTATCTTCTTTTCAAGTTCAGCTGTTAATTGTAATTAAAGAGTACAAATGTCATCTAGAATCAGCATCATAGTAAATGAGACTCGTCTGAAGCAAGTCTGTTTGTTAAAGTACTTGGATACCCTGATAACAGCAGATGAAAGATGTATTTATAAGTTAACTTAAAAATAGAATAGCCAGAACAAAAAGCAGCATTTTACAGGATAAAAAATATCCTATGTAATGTCTTTGCCAGCTGAGGTTAAAAACAGTAATGAGGTCAGTACATAAAAAAAAATGTATCATGTCAGACCTCGGCACTTACATACAAAGATTCGATTTCCATTGTGGACCGTTTAGAAAAAGACCATATTCATGGCTTTTGGATTGCAAGAGTTGCACTGTGGAAGAAATTGGTCATCACCTGATACATTGCAGCCAACCTCACTTGTGGGCAAGGCACTGTTTAATTAATTTGTAATGTCCGACACTACCAGTAAATTCATCATGAGCTGCTTGATACTAAAATCTACAGTAATATTATCACACAATTAATTTTCTTTCTACAGCGTCACTTTTGTGTGTTTGCCATGAGCTTTCCCAGCCAAGATGCCCTGATCACAATTTATACAAGTATCTTGTCCCAGCACATGGCACAGAGCAACTTTCTTGGACCTATTCAGAAGTTTGCTACAAATCTTGTCCATGGGGCTTTAGCATTGCAGGCAAAGATCACATCAACATTCTTGCCAACAGCTATCAAGTTTCATTACGTGTTCAATCTGAGGGACATGTCCAATATCTTCCAGGTTATTTATTTGTATTATATGTATTGTGTAAATATATTGTTTACATTTTTTAGGCCTGAAACCTTTGCTGACTTACTTAAATTAAAGCTATCACATTAAATTATTTGCATCTAGAATGATTTTTTTTTTAAAATAATTATGTTTTTATTACCTAATAGAAAAAGGTGGTAATGAAGCAGTACTCAAGTGCGTTCCAAAAATAGTAAATGAAAGGGTTTTCCCACACAGAGAGAATGCTTTGTGATGGCATACCATACAAGATAAATACCAAAAGATAAGAGGGATGTAGTATCTTAGTTAGTTAGCTAGTTAGTCGTTACAGTTCAGGCATCACAGCAAACAAGCTTGGCCCATAATTGCTCCACCGCCTATGCCAGTGATTCCAGTCTTAAACTGAGTCAGATACGCTGGATACTTCAAGTGAATGGCCGTAGACATACAAAGTGTCCTTATTCAGCAAAACACACATGATTTGATCTGGCACACCATAAGATGCATGCCTCCTTAAACACACTGTGAGACCAGGCATCATCGCTGAAAATCATAATCATTCGACGAATAGCTGGGCGATGAGTAGATTAAAACTATTCCTGACCATTCTCCACATGTCCTTGGCCAAGTTGCAGCCACGGCCAGCAAATAAATAGAAGCTCTAGCACACGCCTTGTCCCAGGAACACAAGGAAGAAAAATACATCACCCATCATTGCCATTTTGTGTGTGCAATAGTATGTGCATGCATTAAATGCATAAGGCAGCTGTTAGAAGTACCAACACAAACAGGCCAGCACCAGAAATGCAGTTCATTATTGATACAAGCAGCAGTTTAACAGTTCAATCATTGGACATGCAGTTAATAACATACAGCACCAATACTTCTCTGACAAAAGGCCACATGTCATTTTCTGAAAAAGTGTAGCATGTCACAGCACAAACCACATTGGGCACAGTCAAAAAGCATTCCAAATGAAATCCACTGCTGGTAGTGTCATGCCATGCACTCGAGTCAGTAGCTGTGTGATGGAAATATACCTTTTCACTCAATATATGGTTTTTAAAAATTCAATAGCTAACTATTGTTAGAAGCAAAAACTTGTTATGACTAATAACTGTAAACCCGCCTATCCGCCATATTGACCAGAAGCTCAGTAATACTAGAACCTTATATCTTCATCAACACCCAATGTGCTAAAAAATGGAAGTAAAGAAAAATAATTATTAGAAAAGATTTCGCTTACTAACAAACAAACAAACAAACAAACTAACAAAAGGAAAAATTAAGGACCCTTTTCCATGCCTTTAGGCATATAGGGCTAGACTTATATTTTATAGACCAATCGGCACAAGATGGGTGATGTGGTCAGCATGACACTAGCCGCCTTTACTTCCGGGACTGCACCGGTACCCACTCAAGCCTAGGTCGACCTGGGAGCCAAGGTCGTTTTTTTTTTTTTTTAAAGTTTGGCTTATTTTTGCCTACTATTTGAAAGTAAATATGCATGAAAACAAACTAAAGTTCTGGGAAAAATGAAAGACCAGAAGTGGATGAATAACCAGAACTTTCTGCTGGAGTTTACAGCCAGTGAATGCTAAGAAGAAGAAATAAAAATCTATTTTAAAAGGTAAACTTAATTTCTGATCTGCTAATTTACCCAGAACATTTTCTAGCAAAAGTTAAATTTAAAAAAATTTACCTCCTTTAGCAATCATAAATTTATCGCTTCCTCACAGACAACATAAACTGTGCTGTATATTCAAATAAATTGTCAGATCTGTTTTGTATACTTGGACCAAAAATAAAAGTCATTATTACACAACTGCTTGATACATATGGGCAGTAGATAATCACAGTCTCTTACTTTAGAAAGAAGAATTTATATATACATATAAATTTTTTTAAATTTCATTGTCTTTGAATTTATTAAAGTATCATTAGATTATATATCTGCAAAATCTCAGGGCATCCTGTTTGCCCAGAATGAATGCTGTAAGACACCAGCTGACCTGGTGAGACTTTGGCTCCATGAAGCTGATAGAGTCTACAGAGACAAGCTGGTGGATGAGAGTGACATGGAAACTTTTGATAAACTGAAGAAAGACATCATCAAGAAATCTTTTGAGGTAGGTTTAATTTTTAATTTCCCCCCATAGTCTTCACTGTCATCACATCTGCTCACACACACATACTTTTCCATGTGCACTAATCCTTGGTTGCCTAGAAAAAACAACGACAGAAACCCATATTTTGGGAATTTCTGGGTTTTTTCTCCAAATAAAATATTTAAAAAATATCCCTTAAAAAAAAGCATTTTACACAGGTCACACACAAAAATAAAAATCATTTGTGGACTAAAACAGTATTTTAATGCATACAGAATAATGAGAGTAGTTAATAAACGTGAATGGGGGCAGCGTAGTTAACTGAGCTTTGAAAAAAATGTTTAGCAGTCTTGGATTAAAAAGTAAAAGGTAGTACATGATGTGTATTGTTTATTTTGTCTAGGTCTGTATGTTAAGATATGTATTGGAATGAATTTGGTGGTGTGGTCAGTGACAATCTGGCCACTTAAACTTCTCAGGAAATTTCTTCTTACTCATCTTAGGCTGGGTCACTGAAAAATGAATCCCTGCCTATCAAAGGTGATATGAACACATGACCACCTTGCCAGTAGACAAGTATGCTAGCTGTTGCACTTACTCAGCTTCTTTACTTTAAAGTTCTTATATATTTAGACTCTGCTAGCATGGCTCTCTTTGTTGGCTACCGACAAAGGAGACTAAATGAGTGTGGAAATTTTTCACGTGCAGTGATGTCAAATTATTTATTTATTAAGACTTATATGTAAAAATATCCTTTATTTTTGGTAGTTTATCACTTGCATGCTGGGACGATGGTTTGGTCCAGATTCAGTTATCAAAAGGGGCAGGATTTTGTTATTGACATATACAGCTCACATAAATGGGTACCATTTCAAGAATTTTTTGGAATGGTTGTGAGAAAGAGAAAACTAGGCCCCTATCTCATAGGAGATTGCCTAGAATGTGTGAAAACCAAACACTTCATACCTCAATGGCAGTATCTGCTATAGAACTAAATGTACTTTTTTTATCTATTATCTTGAAAAATGTTAGTATTCAGTATGTCCTCCATTAATGTCAGAGTACCGGTAAATGATTTCATAGAATATTAAAGAATCAAATGGTTTGATCACCTGGTCAGAATGGACCAGATCAACCAGCAGCTGTATCGTTCTACATAAGAACAGCAGGCTACAAGGCAGGAGGCTGACCAAGAATGAGATGATGGATGGAGTAAAAGAGACACTACAGAAATGTAATATGGCATTAACAGATGCTACGCAACTAACAGAAGACATAAAACCACAGCTAACTCATCTCTGTGACAGATTACAGCATAAGCAGTAAGACAAAAGAAGAAGAATGTCAGAAACTTATGTTTAGTTTTTGTCAGTGTTTGTTCTGAAAGTCATTTTTATTTTACAGGAACTTCCAGAAGAGGTGGTGTTCAAGCAGCCTATTATCTACAGCCACTTTGCACAGGGAATTGGCGACCCCAAATATTTACCAATGGAAACTTGGAAAGATGTTAACAAGGTCTTGATAGAAGCTTTGGACAACTACAATGAGCTAAATGCTGCAATGAACCTGGTTCTGTTTGAAGATGCCATGTCCCATGTCTGCCGCATCAACCGTATCTTGGAGTCCCCTAGAGGCAATGCTCTTCTCATCGGTGTGGGTGGAAGTGGCAAACAGTCATTGTCCCGTTTGGCTGCCTCTATCAGTGGGCTTGAGGTCTTTCAGGTAAGAAAATGTTCATGAAGCAGATTTCTTTTTCACGATGTTGCTCTTATTTTGATCCACCAAGAAGACTTGATCTTTTGCATGTCTCTTGTCTTATGGTTCAGATCTGCATCAAGTAAGATTTTCTTTCAAAATTGACCTTGGCTCCCAGGTCAGCCAAGCCCAAAATTGGTATTAGGTAATGTCCAGTTAATTAATGGTGGCTGGCATGCTGACAACCTCATCACCATGTGAGAGTGGATTGGTCAATAAAAAATACAGTGGAACCTCGCTTAACGAGCATAATTTGTTCCAGAAACATACTCGTTAAGTGAAACACTCGTTATGCGAAACAATTTTTCTCATATAAATTAATGTAAAATACAATAATGCTTTCCCTGTCGGAAAAAAAACTTCACAAAATGCTATGTAAAATGTTTATTCAAAGAAAACTATATACATATTGTTAAGGAGAGTGAATCATCTTAATCTTTTCTTCAAACGCCAAGCGAGCCGAACCTGGAATGCGAATTCGATTTGCAGAAAAACAAAAAGTCAAAATAATTATGATACATAGCTAATTTTTTTTTTACTAGAAAGATGTCCAGAGACATTTGTTTTTGCCGCGCTTCAAAATTTGGTGAAAACGCGACACGGCATTATCATTGAATAAATTTGCAACGCTCATAGCCACTGATGCTTCTCAATGTCTTTGAATAAATTTGCAACGTGCCTAGCCACTGATGCTTCTCAATGTAAGAAGCAACAGTTTCCCATGCTTTCAGCATTTCTCTTATTTCGCCAGAAGATTGTTGCTTTTCTGTTACCTCCTCCTCCTCCTCCTCTGACAAACTTTCCTCCAAAACCTCTTGTTGTGAAACACAATGCAACTCCATAAGCTATTCGGTGGTCAGCTTTTGGCTGTGCTCTTCCACAAGCTCTTCGATATCACAGTTATCCACCTACAATCTCATGATAGTGGCCAAAGACACAATCTCGTTGACTACAGGTTCCACAGGTACTGTCTCGAACCCCTCAAAGTCAGAAATTGACATTGCTCTCCGGCCAAAGCTTCTTCCAAGCAGAATTTAGGGTTCTCTTGGTAACCCCTTCCCCCGCCTTGTCGATCATCTTGAGGCAGGCAACAATGTGGAAGTGATTTTTCCAAAACTCTTTGAGAGTGAGGTTGGTCCCTTCAGTCACCTGAAAACAATGCTCAAAGAGTGCTTTAGTGTAGAGCTTCTTTAAGTTAGAAATAACTTGCTGGTCCATGGTCTGGAGTGACGGAGTGGTGTTGGGAGGCAAAAACTAGATCTTGATGAACTTAAATTCTTCAGGGAGGTCATCTTGTAGGCCTGGAGGATTCATGTACATATATCACAATAAAACACAAGTTTGAGAAAATGTGTGATCACAAGCGACGCTACGATGCTACTGGAACGAGTGCTAAACACAGACTGATGTAATATGCGCACAATCCAGGACTTCCCCTCTCCTCGTCACTCGTTATGCGAAATGTTGCTCGTTAAGCAAGTCATTCTTTTACAATTTGTTTTGCTCGTTATGCGAATTACTCGTTATGAGAGGTGCTTGTTAAGCGAGGTTCTACTGTAAGGTTGTTTTTTTTTTTTTATTATTGTCATGTGCAAGTTGTCTTTAATGTTGTGTGTTAACCTTTATGCTAGTTAATTCTTGCTTTTTCTTCCAGGAGCCATATGTTCTAATACTTTACTGTATAAACCTTTGTGTTTTTAACATGGTCAAAGTATTCAAGTTTGGGAGATGTGATGATTTTTTATGGGCTAGTCGTATTTTTTCATATCTTGTAGCATAATATTATTTTCTTTCTTCTTTATCCACGGTAATAATTATTCTATGGTATTTAAATTCAAGAGCCTCAATGTATGTATTTTTGTGTGATTTTGAAATATTTCTGTATATTATCACAGGCCTTCTTAATAGTGAGAAAGAGCTAGAGGAAATTGATTGGTGGTAGAAAGTGATAAAATTGGCCTTGGTTTGAATAATGGTAAGACAGAAGTAATGGTGATTTTCAAGAAAAGAATAGTGCCTAAATGTATAATAAAATTCAAAAGCATTTTTAGGGCAAGCACAGAAATTTAAGTATCAAGGCACATGGATAACATCCGACATAAGATGTATCACAGAGATAAAGAACATAATAAGACAGACCAAAACTGTGTTTTATAAAATGAAAAACATTTTGTGCAATAAATCAATGTCATGTGAGGTTATGAAAATAATTCTTGCATAAATAGAGCTAGTTTTAACATTCGACTGTGAATCCTGGACAATTAATAAACAGGCCAAACAATTTCTTGAGGCCTCGGAGGTGTGGTTTTACAGACGAATCCTTAGAATTTCTTGAACAGGTAGAAAGAGCAACCAAGATGTTTTGAAAGAGGAGAGGGTTCTAAGACAGCTTATCACAAACATCAGAAAGAGACAGTCATCATGTTTGGTCATGTTATGAGAAGAGGGAAACTGGAACATGTTGTGACCACTGGAAAGAGAGACAGAGGAAGACAGAGCGAGAAGATTTGACAGCTTTTTGTCAATGCATCTCAACACACGAACTGATACACACAGTTGCGGATTGCAGATTGTGGAGAGGTATGATCGCCCACGCCAGTCAGCGAGGCACTTGATGATGATGATGGTGATATTATCACAGGACAGACATTCGCTATCAAAATGTGTTAAATTGTTTGCTTGTTTTATTCATTGGTTCTTAATACTGTTTAACCTTTGTATTAGTATGCACTCCTTCTGATTGTTTTTAAACAGTCACCATTGTTGTTAATTATGAAGTCAATATTTTCACTATAGTCACAATTTGAAACATATAATTTTCCTCATTGTTGACTGTAATTTTTTTTTGAAACATAGTTTTTGTCTGTGGATGCTATGAATGTTGTCTCTTTGAAAGTAATGCACTAGTGATTTTGTAACAGATTTTCCATTCCTTTGAGCGTCTGCTGTAAATATTTCAATGACTGAGTGGGTGGGTGTGGTTTCTTGCTTGCATGAGCCAATAAACCATAGAAGAAGCACAAGACAAATTATACTTTGCTGTTAGTAAAGTAATTTTTGTCTAGAAGAAAACTGATCACATAACATTATTATGTTACTCTTTAAAATCTTAGTACTCATTTACCATTGTATAATGGCCTATTATTTCACTTTATAGATCACTCTACGAAAAGGTTATGCCATACCTGATCTGAAATTGGACTTGGCTGGTCTCTATAGAAAAGCTGGCCTCAAAGGTATGTGGAACTCTATCACATATTGTTGTACATAACAGTTACAATATTTTATGTGTTTAAAAATTAGATATTGCAAGACATATCTGTGTTTTGAAACCGTATTTTACAGTAGTCATGTCAAGAAAGTCTCTCTTTCTTTAACCAGTTCTCCAGCCCTATGTGCTTTCCTAACATCTTCATTGTCTTGTATACACCTTTAAAGAGGTTTGCCCCTGCCTTATTTTCTGGAAATTAAATCATCCATCAATGCTTTCTCCAGACCACCACAGAATTTAATAAGATCAAAATTCCTCAGCTATCAGAAAAGGATGCTGTTAATTAGCAAATTCTCCTCAGTGTTGAATGTTAAATTAGGTCACTCCCATAAGTGCTCAGTTCCCCCATCTTCAGCAGCAAGCAAAGAGTTCCAATTCCGATGGTACCAGTAACCGTCTGATTGTATATCCCTCTCATCCTTTCCCTGAGTGTTGAGCGTCGGCCAAATTCCCTGGTAACTCCTTGCAGGACCCTTCTCCTTAGACCATAATGATCTATCTGCGCCTCCGCAGTGCTTAATGGCTCCCAAAAGGCCCTCACAATATCTAACTTGTTATTCATCAGTTCACCTCTAAGTGGTGCAGAGCCAGCCAGTCTATCTGCCTGCTCATATCCCAACACACATGCTAATTACCCGGAACCTCTGAGGTGATGCTTCATGTTTTCAAAATGTTATTCTTTCTATATCTCAGGTATAGGGATCATGTTCCTGATGACTGATGCCCAGGTGGCAGAGGAAAGGTTTCTGGTGTTAATTAATGACCTGCTGGCCTCAGGTGAAATCCCTGATCTGTTTGGAGATGATGAAATTGAGGAGATAATTAATGGGGTCAAGAATGAGGTCAAAGGTCTTGGACTGGAGGACACTAGGGAAAACTGCTGGAGATTTTTCATTGACAGAGTCAGACGTGTCCTGAAGGTATTTTGATATTATATTAACAAACTGCGTCAGCAGCGTGGTATGCAAACTGACATGTACCGTATTTGTCAGTGGATAAGATACTTCCTTGTATGAGACAAACCAACACACACAAAATGTGTTCAACAAAATCTTTGATTTAATTCAAATACCCATTTCAACATCTTGCGTTGGTTTCAACAGTGACACCGAAAGTAGACTATTCAGAAAGCAATGGGATAACTACTGAACGGAAAATTTGCTTAGAAGAACCATAACAGTCAAAAACTGCTGGGGTTGGTTCTTTAATGTCCTGTAAAGGATACGCAACTAACTTTAAACCATTTCAATACATGAATCTCTATTTCCGGCTATTTTGCACTTTTTCTATGCTGAGCATGCTTTCCTGTGTTCATTTTGCTCAAAATATCCTGTTGATACCACCAAAGCTTTATGGCTGTATTTTTTTTTTAATCAGTGGAGGTCTGAAATGACAGCTAGGAAAAATAAAGATACATGTAGGCCTACCTTTGTTTGCTTAATACACAGCCTAATTTGAAGGCATATTTTTATAAAAAAAAAAAAGGTGTATTTTATGCACTGACAAATACGGTATCTCTCTTTCTCTATAATTTTTTTTCTATAAATGTCAAACAGTAGATGTCACCTTGTTTACCATACACTTTCTATGACCTTAATGGTTCCAAAGCAATTTATTTCTGTATACACTGTAGGGAAGCTGGTGAAGTCAGTGACATTTTTTGTGGTGAATCACAGGTGGATGGAATGTGCTGAAGTTGGCCCCTTTACTATGATATAAAGATGTGTGCCAGTGGGGCATGAATGATGCAGGTATTCAATTTGATTCAAATGAACAGGATGCCATGGATTATTTGCATAGAGGAAGAAAATCAGGACAGAAATTGGGGCAAAGGGAAAAAATTATTGCAAATAGGTTGAGATTAGAGAAAGAATTTGAGAAGAAGTCCACTGTGCATGGAGTCAGCTTTATTTTTGTTCCAGGACATGCAGGCATCGATAGCTGGATCCGCTATCACTACCGACGGTCAGCCTATGGATCATGCTGATATTATTAATGAGAAATGGGAAGGATAGAGGACTAGGGGCAGTGAATCCACATCACTCGCCAGAATGGCAGACTTGGGAATTAAGATCGGCATAGCAAAAAACGAGACACACACCAGACACACCAGAAGACTTGTTAATCAACATAGAACTGGTACTATTAGCCATCAGACGTTGTGGTTCATACTAAATTCTTACTCTTTGCATTCACCTGCAGAAGTTTGGTTTTGTATTTGCAGATCTGTTTTTCTTTGTATCATTGGTTCCATGCCTCTCGGGGGTACTTTGAAGGAAACATTAGTTTTTGTATAGTTTACCTAGGTCCCCTAGGTCAACCCATCTTAAAATTATTACCAGGAAATATCATGGAAAGTAAAGGCAACAAGCATGATGTTGGCCACATCATAGATTGAGTACTGTTTGGCTTATGAAAATATGGGTTTAACACCATATGCCTGATCCACTTATTGTGCAAAAAAAAGAGTCCTTTATTTCTACACTAGTTAATCATACGTTTAGGTCCATCTGCTTTTTTCATATGTTTGTGAAGCATTCTTGTTATTATACATTTTGGCACCTGAAAATGCTAAGCATGAACTCAACACTGTAAACTGTATGCTGCTAACAGAGAGGCCATCTTGCCTGTTCCAGCCTCAATGAAAACAAACCTGTATGGGAGGGGGATAGGTTTGGACTGCACTGTAGCTTTGATCAAGACAACTGATCTCCTGATATAAGGTTTCCTGACAGAAAAATTGAAGTAGAAGAAGACTTTACAGTATTTTTTTTTAAATTTTGGTAAATTAAACTGGAAAAACAATCAAACATACTACGTCTTTACATTAGATGGTGCTGTGCTTCTCACCTGTGGGTTCCACTCTCCGTGTGCGTAGCCGCAAGTTCCCAGCTGTGGTTAACTGCACTTCAATAGACTGGTTTCATGAGTGGCCTGAAGAAGCTCTCAAGTCTGTCAGTGCCAGATTTCTTGAGGATGTTGAACTTTTGATGGTAAGTGTAATATGCCTGAAATTATTTCTACTTGTCATTTAATTCATCAAAGTGATGTCACAAATGTCTTTTGAACTGCCACTGTAATAAAATATTAATTTAAATACATCTGTAAACCACATTAAATCAGATTTTGGAACTTATCACGAACTTGCCCGCACGGCGAGAGTTTCTTCCCCTACCATTAATGCTGCATTCGGTCACACAGCTTGTCATCTATTGGGGAGGGGGGTGTTATGAGATGGCTTTGTTCGGCGTTCACTCGCCGTATATAATGTTTTGTGGGTGGTTATGTTGTCGTGAGTCTCTTTGAGGTGCCGCAGGCGCCTTTGCAGAAGTAAGAAGCACTACGGGAGAAAGTGCCGAAGGTGTGCCTGTTGGTAAGTATCAAAACTGGTTTTATTTCTACATTCCTTGGCAGTGGCTCCTCCCCAGAAAAGAAACCACTGACAAGAAACGCAGAAATACAAAAACATCCCAGTTTCGATACTCATGAACCGTCAGGCAAGTAGCACAACATGGAAATAATCACGCTAGTGAGCAGTGACAAGACGAGAAAAGAGAGAAAGGTTAAACCACTGAAAATAAGGAATACCTGACACCACCGAACACAGGACATGCTGTGCGACCGGTCGCGGCAGAAATGGGAAAGAAACGAACTCTCGTCATGCGGGCCAGTTCGTGATAAGTGCCCAGTATTTTATCTGCCCTTGGCTTCTAAATGAGTATTAGGTAAATTCCTGGAAAGTAAAGGCAGCTGGCATGATGTTGACCCCATCATCCACTGAGTGCCAATTAGTCTATAAAAAATGTGAGCCTAGCATCATATGCCCGATGCACCACAGGCATAAGAAGGGTCCTTTACTTACTTACTTACTTACCTACTTACTTACTTACTTACTTACTTACTTACTTACTTACTTACTTACTTACTTAAATAAGCAAAGTTTAAAACTGGATAACTTAGTTGTTTTGTTTTTTTAATTTTGTATTTATTAGTGATCACTATGGTAATAAGATTATATGCTTAGATAATTTTTTTTTTAATAAACAGTCATCAAATTATTATATATAGTAATTTTGTTTAGCTTTCTAGTTTCTTTTCTATTGCTTTCCCTAAGTTTTGCATTGCACATACTATGCTCCTAGATGTGGAAATTGGTTTCTTTACTTTCATCATCATCATCATTACATGTTTTGCCAAATGGCATGCCTAATCATGCTTCTCTACAACTTGCGATCTACAACAACATGTGTCAATTCGTGTGCTAACATACTTTCATGCCACTTCTTTTTTTTTTTTTCTGCTCCTTATCCACCAAGGAGCACAGGCACTCAACCAACTCATGGCATATCTTCCTCTCCTTTGCTATATCACAAGCAGCTCACCCTTTGTCCTTCCCATTTTGTCCTTCACTCTGTAATTCCTTTCTCCATGTGTCCCCCATTTTTTTTTTTACTTCACTCAGTAGCTGTCGGCTCTGTGGCTAAGTCGGTGCGAATGCTTCGCTTCGTAATGCCGGGATGCCAGGTTCGATCCCAGCTGCGGGCAATGCGCCTTGCGTTGGTTTCGACAGTGTTATCAAGAAAGCCGATCGTCCAGAAAGCAATGGCAAACTACTGGATGTAACTTGCCTAGAGAAACCACACAACAGCCAGGGGCTGTTGGGGTTGGTTCTGCAACGTCCGGTAAAGGATACACAACTAACTTAACTCAGCAGCTCCTTTCTCCATGTGTTTTTAGTCCGCCTATATTAATGTGCCCCTTTAGGTTTCAGCTGAAAGCCCTTCTAGGTATACTATTCTTAGGTTTCCTGTGTGTGTCCTATCCAACTCAAGCATCTTTTCTTCACCTCTTGATTGACTTCCAAAATTCAGCATTAGTGATTCTATAATAACCATTCAATTCCCTCTATTCTGTGCAGGCACTAGTTAATGAGTGTTTGTGGTCTATTACTCTTCTTGTCTTTTGAATTTATATTTTATAGTGAAATCTATGTGCAAAATGTTGATTTACTTTGAATTGTACTCAATTATTTTACTTGATTATTATACTTATGCTTAATTATTTTTAATGTTAATTATATTTATTATGCTTTTATTATGCCTATGCTTTCATTATATTCAACTGATCAACTGTTAGTGTAGTATGCGCCTGAAGCGATACAATGAAATATTCCAGGCAGTAAATTGTAGCCTGTGGTGTGTGAATCTTTATTAAATTTTATAACATGGAAATGAGAAAACAAGGTGTGATGAAGAAATTGGCAGGCACCACTTGGGGAGCAGACAGTTGTATCTTGAAGCAGGTATACACTGGCACAGTCAGACCAACTCTCGAATACGCATCATCGTCATGGATAACAGCAGCCCATTCCAATAAACAGATACTAGACAAAGCGCAAAATAGAAGTCTGCGTACAATTCTAGGAGCCATAAAATCTACACCTATTGTAGAAATGGAAAAGGCAGCCAACATCATCCCCTTAGAAGAAAGAAGAAGGACAAAAGCAATTCTACATGCTGAAAAAATGAAGAGAATGCTAAACAACCCATTACACGAAAAATTGGCAGCCAGGACAAAAAACAGAATAAAGCGCACAAGCCTAAACCATCTAACGAAGGAATTTGGAAAGTCATTCTCTTCACTACTTAACCAACAATGTACACCTGAAGAGCTATCTTTCGATCTTTGGGACTCCAAATTATTGACACTCAATGTGTCAACATCCATCCCGAACCTGGGAAACAAAGATGCTGAGCCCGCTTTAGTGAAGAAAGCACTCACAATGGAACACCTCAACAACATGTTCCCACAGGACAGCTGGACCAGAATCTACACGGATGGATCAGCAAAAGAGGCAACTACGAATGGTGGGGCAGGTGTTTACATAAAACACCCAGATGCCACTACTGTGTCCCTAGCAGCCCCCACCAGACGAACTTGCTCTAACTACAAGGCAGAACTCTCAGCCCTATTGATGGCAGCACAGTATATGAACAATCTGCAAATCACCGCAGGCAGGATAGTTTTTCTCACTGACTCACTGTCAGCTATACAGGCCCTTGAGTCCAAACCTACCGACAGCACACTACAAAGTCTAACACAGGAACTTGCTATGTTGTCAAATAAGGCAGAAATTCACTTGCAGTGGATTCCGTCACACTGTGGCATCAAAGGCAATGAAAGCGCAGATGCTTTAGCCAAGGAAGGCAGTAAGAAACCACAGACCTACCAGCCACTATCTTTTCCAGAAGTCAAAACTCTCATTAAGAGAAAATCAGAAACAGATTGGAAAACCAACACTGGTTATAACTACGAAAAAGATTTTCTGAAACACTTGAATAGAACAGACCAAGTCACAGTTTTTCGCTTACGCACTGGACACTGCAGACTCAATAAACACTCACATAAATTAGGTATGAGCCAAACAGCTCTCTGCCGGTGCCTTTGTGGTGAACAGACTCCAGAACATGTCCTGCAAGACTGTCCTCTCCTGGCGGAGCTGCGGAGCGACATATGGCAACACCCAGTAGAACTGACAAAGCTTTGGGGAACCTAAGAGACCTTGAAAAGACATCCCAGTTTATGACCCACAGTGGATTATGCGCATGACCAGAGATCGCTGAAGAAGAAGAATAACATGGAAACATTGCATTAATTGTACTACACTTGTTCAGTTTGTTATTATTTCCATTACAGCCTGAAATGAGGGAATCAATTTCACTCTTCATGTCCTACGTACACAAGTCTGTCAATGAGGTGTCCCAGCAGTATCTGGCCAGTGAACGCCGTTACAATTACACAACACCCAAGTCTTTCCTGGAGCAGATAACTCTGTATCAGAACTTGCTAACCAAAAAGAACCGGGAGCTGCAGGCTAGCATAGTGCGTCTTGAGAATGGTTTGCAAAAGCTCCGAAGCACAGCTTCCCAGGTTTGTTCTTATGATTTCATTAAATATGCCATTAAAAACCGATTTAAAAAAAATATTCAATAAACATTCATAATTTTGATCCTAAGGATCAACACCTGATAATACTGTCACTAATATATGTGTGTGTGCATGCCTGTGTGTGAGTGCTTGTGAGCCTGTTAGCAGAATTATATGCTTGTTTGACAGTTAACTACGTTACAGAGATTGACAAGTGCAACAGAAATTAATAATTCTTTCAATCCCTGGCAAAGATTCTTTTAAATGATTTCATTTTTGTACCAGCAGATGATAACAGAGTTTCCAATAGGGAAAAAGCCGCTAGAATTATTTTATGAAGTAATTGTAAAGAACCATTTTTCACTTCTTCAGGCGTATTGGTCATACAGAGCTATACCTATATTTCTATAAACCTATCAACGCTTAGTGGGTGACTTGGTCAACATTACATTGGTCACCTTTACCTCCCAGGACTTTACCATTGTAACCATTTAAGGCTGAGTCAACCTGGGAACCAAAGTTATTTTTTTTTTTAATGTCTGGCTCCTTTTCATAATTTATTACTAATTTTTTTTTTTTTAAATAAATTTTAACCATCTGGAGGTTGGCTGTAGTGAATATATTTTTCCAATGCTGCCTTTGGGATTAGTATTTTGTGAAGCCCCAATCTCCTCAGGGGTGCAAAACTCATCTGTTCAAAAGGCATGAGAACCATCTTTTTCTAAAGTGCCTCTTTGGAAATCCAACTCTGATTTTCTAACTTGTTACTGATAGTAGGGAATATGAAATGAAATAAAAACTGGCAAAGAAGTTAAAATCATGAGTAACTTGGAACCCGTGTCTCAACAGCTGTATTTTATTTTTTAAAATTACAAATTACAGCTTTTATTTTGTTATTCAGGTGGATGATCTGCAAGCCAAATTGGCATCTCAGGAAGTAGAACTGGCTATTAAGAATGAAGATGCTAACAAGCTGATCCAGATTGTTGGTGCAGAGACAGAAAAGGTAACAAAGGAGAAAGCCATTGCTGATGAAGAAGAGAAGAAAGTCACTCAGATCACTGCT